GGCTACTCCTCCCAGTTTGGTATCATCAGCAAACTTGCTGAGGGAGCACTCTGTGCCCTTAACCAGGTCATTGATGAATAAATTGAACAGGACTGGACCGAGGACTGACCCCTGGGGGACACCGCTAACAACAGGCCTTCAACTAGACTCGGCACCGCTGATCACCACCCTCTGAGCTCTGCCATCCAGCCAGTTCCTAATCCACCTCCTTGTCCACTCATCTATCCCACACTTCAGAGCTTGCCCAGGAGGATGTTGTGAGGGATAGATGTAGATATGTATTCAGCTTTGAATTATTTGCTCCATCTGTATGGGCCTGGACCTTCAGGGCATCATGTGGAAGGGACTGGAAAGGTAACTGCTCTCCCAGGTAGGATTTTCTCTTCCTAGCTACTGGCTGCCATTTAGGCCAGCAGTCTCCACAAGTAACAAGCAGAATAGCACCACTGGCACCATGTAGACAGGGCTTTATCCCTTTATTTTCTTATCCAAAGTCACTTATGACACCTATTTACACAATATTGGGCAGTGTGGTTCATTAAGGGCCTTTCAATTAACTGAACATACTTCCCCACACCTGCCAGCCTGCTCCAGAGCTCCACTGGAGGCTTCACCTGGTTGTTCATCACCCGCTTCCTCACGGAAGGAATTGCCATGCAGTGAGGTGCTGCATCTGGGGAATGACCTCCTGCACTGTCCCTTGTGTGGTCTCTTTGCTATGAGGATGAATTCTTTTCTTGCCTGCACTGCTGCCTTTGGGAAGGCCTCAATGGGGCCACCAGCACTCAGGGAAAACAGCAGGCACGTCTTGCACTTCAGAGGGCATTTGGGAGTGGGTCTGACTGCTTTTAACCTCCCAAGAACTTCTGCAGATGTCAAGCAAAGCAGTGCTCTGCCTAGGAAAGTCCCGGCTTTGTCTGCTATATGGGCAGACAGGATTTGCCATCTGGAAGAATGCAGGTAGCTCCCAAGGCAAATATGAACACAAAGTTCTGAGCCTTGGCTCTTCTTGAGCTCTCAGGGCTCTCCCAGAACTCTGTGGCTCATGTGTAATATGGGTTTGAGAGGAGAGAGCACAAAGCTATGGGACAAGCTGGTCTAATGACATGAGACCTTGGTCCTCTCATGTGATCTCGACCTATGGGTGTGAAAGCTGGTCCTACTGGTGCTTGATCTCTGCCAGGACAGCACAAGGGAAGGAAGCACAAGGAGAATAAAGTGCAAAACAAAACAATGCTGATCTCTATCACATCCTCTGAGCCTTGCTCTTGGATTAGGACCCCACAGGACAAGCAGCCATTTGCTTGAGGAACTCACATCCTGACTTACCTGATGGAGTTAATGATCTTGCTGTTGTCTTCCTCTGACCCTTCCATGTGGAATCCATTTGGGATATTTTTCAAGGACAAACGACTCAGCACATTCTCTGACCTGCTGCTGGTGATCGAGTGCCTCAGGGGGCTCCCAAAATCCCCCTCCATTGGCTTTGCTGCTGCCTGCTCTTGTTTATCTGCAGCTGTGTGCTGAACAGCTTCTCTCTGCTGGGCCACCAGTTTCTGCTCTAAGAGCTCTGGGCTTTCCTTGACCCTTTGCTGGATCAAGGGGGTGAGTGGAGCCTCAAAACTGACACAGCTGTCTGTCTCATCCGTGAGAGAGAGCACATCCAGAGAGTCCAAGCTGCTGTAGTATGTGCCCTTCATAAGATCAGACTCAACAATCTTCTCAAAGGTCGAGCTGAACCCATCCCTGATATCTTTAAACTGGAGCTGTTCCTTGTCATCATCAGTGCAGCTCAGCTTGGTATCTCCAGCAGCAAACCTGCACCAAAAGGGGAGATGTAGAAAATACTGTCAGAGTATTGACATGAATCGTTCTCTTCAGAGGTGGGAGTCAGGAGAAGCGACAGGCATGCATGCTCTTATTCCAGGCCATTGCAAACTTTAAGATGTTGCATAATCTTTTCGGTTCCCAATTTTATCATAAACTTCAATCTTGGCACAAATTCTAGAGCTGATGAAGGCAGAGCATTGCAGCGTGCAATCCCAGGGGCAGGGCTAACCCTTAATTTGATTATGTCCCAGTAAAAATCCAGATCTCTGAGCAGGAGTTGTTTGTGTCTGACTTCTGTGATTGGATCCAGTGCCAGAATGGATTTAACCTGCGGGTTATTTCTCTAAGTGCTCCAATTATGACTATACTTCAAAATCATGACAGTGCTTAAGAATCATAGTATCTAATCTAACTTTGGATGTTGCCAGTGAATGTCCTTGCTTCCTATACACTAAAGAAAAACAGAAGTTTTTATGGAGCATTTTTTTCTGACCAATCTTAAACCTTTTACCTTATGCAAGGCACCCTAAAAGTAGTTTTTTCTCTCAAATGACGGGAGCGCACAAGGGGGAAAATATGCCTAGGCAGGAGAGGCTCCATGCTACTTCACAGCCAACCTGAGGGATTCAGATACAGCATTAGAAGCTTGAAAGGAGGCTGTGAAAGTAACGAGTCTACAAGACTAACTTCCAGGTAAACACTGGATGAACCTCGGTGATCCTGACTTTGTTTGAACACAGGGGAATTCATTATGGTGCACAATACAAATTGCAGAATGCCCGTTTTTGAGTCAAAAGCAGCAACACGTTGTGCTAGGGCCCTGGAGAACAAGGAGGGTTCAGTCCCTCCTGGAATAGCCAGAAAGACCAGGTTACAATAACTTGCCTGAAGTACCCCAGGTCTCTCTGGAGAAATCTCTCTTTCCAGTACCAGCAGGAATTCTGCTTTGACAGAATCGGGCATTTACTGCCGCTATATGGGCAAAAGTGAGGCAAAAAGTAAGGGCTTCTTTTCCTCCTCACTATGGTTGTCAAGTTTGGAAACCTCTTCTCAGTGTCATAACTGTGTGTATCTTCTCAGTGTCATAACTGTGTGTAGCTCTTCTCCTAATGTATACAGCCTCATTTTACAACAAGAAAGCATCTCCTTGAGATGAAATCTGGGGGGTGGTTCAGGGATGAGCAGTTCCTCGTGCCAGTAGACGAGATGCTGTGCCTCTGTATGTCCAAACCCGGCTGCTGATAGCAACTTTTTCAGGAGGCAACAGTGACAGCCCACTCCCTGCCTTGCAGGGATGCACATCGCCTGGCTCGCAAAATTTGGAAATGGACCCTGGGAGGTTGTGGTTCCAGCACAGGGGCAGCAAACTGCTTGTGAAGGAAACAGGGCAGAGTCCCAACAGAGCCTCCCCGGAGCCTGGACACTGCTGGGCTTGATGCCCTTCACAAGATAGCTCACTTATTCTCTGAACTTGGTAGCTAGGGAACTTGGGCACATAGCAGTATTAGGTAATGCTAATAGCAATTGCAATAGTATTAGGTATTGCTAATAGCAAAAGTAAAGGAAATGTACAGCCATGTAATCCTATATTCTCCACCAGCAGGCAGCAGAGAACAGGGAAAGCAACATGACCACCCTCCGCCCCTACCTCCTTCCAACTCCAAGCTATCAGCAGCTTAAGGATGCTCTCTGATCTAGAGACATCCAGCCCCTTTTTCCTCATTAGACATAGACTCTCTGGTCTCCTAAACACCACCATGATGCTTGGGCAGAGGCTCAGCAGAAGGCTGAAGAAAAGTCTGTTTGTACCATTACACAGCTTGGGATCCACACACTCCCTTCTCTCCAGCAGCAGTAACTGGCCTCTCCTACTGCACAGTTAAATAAGCAGCAAGGAGGGAGGGCCACTCCTTGAGCAGAGGGTGTGTTGAAAGGCAGCAGGGAAAGGACTGTGTCTCCTGTTTGGAGTCATTTTCCAGGTATGTCCCAGATTTAATTTCCATATGAGGAAGAACTTCTTTACTGTGAGGGTGACAGAGCCCAGAGAGGTTGTGGAGGCTCCTTCTCTGGAGATCTTCCAAACCTGCCTGGATGCCACCCTGTGCCACATGCTCTGGGTGTCCCTGCTGGAGTAGGGATTTTAGACTAGGTGATCTCTAGAGGTCCCTTCCAACCTCAACCATTCTGTGATTCTGTGATTCCTAACAGTCATTCCCCATCCACCCTCCCTAGGTTGTTGTCTCGCACAGAGATTTCTCACACCTCTCTGTCACCACTTCTCTCTTTTCCAGGCTGAAGTGTCCTAGCCTGAGAGGGACTCCCCAGCGCTGCTGCGCAGGTGGCAAGGGCCGCCTGGAGCCGCTCGGTGTTTGGAAGAGCCCTGCTCCCGCTTGCAGACGGGCGCTGCAGGGCCCCTCTGCTGGCCTGATGATGCACGAGCCACCCCGGCCCGCTTCACCCCAGCACGAGCACCTCCGCCTTTCCGCCTTCTCCGTGGGGTGAGATCCGCCAGCTAACCCTGTCCCAGGCCAGGAAGGAGAGCTGGGAAGGCCTTAGGGGAACCACAGCCTCCCGAAGGACATGGCCTTTGAGCAATTAGTCACATGACACGCTAAGGACCGAGGGTGTGAGGAAGATGGCTGCTTTCTGATCTCCCAGGCTTTTGAACTTTGCTGCTCATAATTATTTATCAACTCTCTGAGTCCAGGCTGTCATAAATAAATGACTATCAGCAAAGCGGGGATTACTTGCTGCTGCTTCACTTTAGAGCTCTTCACAGTGCCAACTGTGGGTTCCTCCTCCAGCCATGGCCATGGGCTCCTGCCTTCAAAGTGTCTCTTGGGCAGCAGAGGGACACCATGGCCTCACCTCCGCCCACCACAACCGGCAACAGTGGTGGCCCTGTGACCTCCAGGCCCTTGGGCCACCAGCCAAGTGGTTGCTAAGGTGCCTCAGCTCCCCTCAGGGCCCACATAGGCCAGCACTGCCTCGCTGAGGGCCGAGGTGCGTACATTGACGTCTGGCCAAGGACAGGGCACTTGGAGGGCCTTGTGAGGTGGCTGCAGCAGGTTGTGCCATCCTGGCCTGGTCTGGCTGCTCTTGGCTCCGAGAGTGGTCATCTGTACTAACCCCCTGACTGGGAGGCAAGACACATTCCACCTCTGTTTCCACAGCCCTACACAGACATGTCTAGGGAGCAGATATTTCTGTATGCCATGTTCACATGCACATGGGTATGCAACCAGGACCGCTCAACTCAGCTCTGCATGGCAGCCAGCATCCCCCTGTAACACCTCTCCTCTGTATTGATGCGGATTCCCTTCCAGTTCTGTCCTAGTTCAGCACAACAGCTCTGTTCTCAGTGTAGTTCCCACTAGCAGAAACCTTGGAGTTCAGCTTTAGCTCAGATGAAGTCAGTTTTCCCTACTGTTACCTTGGTGAGATGCTTTGCTGGCAGCAGTGACAGGCAATTCCCACAGTGCCAAACCGTATCAGAAATTCGGTGACAGAGCTCCCACATACCATGTTGCTCATTGTCTGCTCTGCTGTTCTTTACCACAGCTTTGGCACTGACACCCCTTCTTACAACTGGGGGGCTGCTACATGCACGGCACTTCTGATGTGATGGGGGGAAGCACAGCCCTCCCTAGAGAGGTCCTGAGCAGAGCAAAAGAGCCACAAGCCCAGGGTCAGAGCAGATCCATGAGATCAACTCCCATGAAGTGGGAGAGAGGGAACAGTATGGAAATGTGTGAGTTCCCAGGCACACAGGCGGAGGGAACAGAAAACAGGTTTCCAGTGCCACATCGGGTTGCAACCACTGCTACGAAGTGCGGTCTCCCAGGGAATGTCTGTCTGTGGGTGAAGTCAGATGAAATGTAGAGATGGGGTTATTTCAAGGGGGAAGGAGATATTCCTGCTTTTCAAACCCAGAACTCCTCAAAGACTCTAAAACCTGGTCAGCTCTTGTCTGGTAGCACTGTGCAATGAGGCTGCAGGATAAATTTCCAGCTACCTAGGATTTTTTTCTGCTCCTACCACACAGGCTTATAAAGACACAAGAGATCAAACCATTAACCCTGCATGATCACTAATGAAAAGCATGAAACTGATCAAAGAATAAGCAATCTCTGCAAGCTAAAAAAAAAAAAAAGAGAGAGACAAAATCCCAAGACAAGATGGGCAGAAGACTGTTACAGCAGCTGCTGTGAACTATCAGGGCTTGATTCATGACCAGACAAGTGGATCTCGGCAAAGCATCACTTTGCATCCCAAAGGAAGGCCCATGCACTGCTTGGATGCAGGTACATCACTCCAGACTCCCTAACGTACCTTCATTCATAAAAGTCGGGCCCTGAGCGGTGAAAGCCACAAGCTGCTCCTTCAGTTGATGTGGTCAGCTTTGCTGACAACATCAAAACCACCTGCCTACAAACTTATTGTCAAAAGCAAGAAGAAAACTTTTACAGCCCTTCTTGCAACAGAACAAAACTGTTGCCTGTTACTCACTTCTCCTTGGTAAGGAACTGAGAAGAACATTTGTTTTTCTAAATACACTTCTTTTGTTTTCACAAACTGACATTCAACTAGCCTTGGAGGACTTGCTGTGGAAACCATCCCAGTGTGGAAGGTCACTCTACTGTTCCAAGGCATGGCTGGCGTCTTTTAAGAAGGCCTAAGAAACAACTCTGCTAGCTAGGAGAGGTGTCATCTGGTATGGTGCTACTACTGACACAAGGGTGTCTGGATCTTAAGATCCAAAGTGCAACCAAAGATAGCTGTGGTCTGACATGGTACATAGTGGACAATAAGACAAACTAGTGTAAGGAGGGAAGACTGCAAACACAGAAATGCCATAACCTCGCTTGTGGCAGTGAGGTGCAGGCACATGCCAGCAACCAGACTCCTCATCTGCCTCATCTATGGAACAAAAGTGCATTTTGAGACAGCACTTGAATAAAGTTACAGTTTCCTGTTTATAAAGTGCCAGTGCAAGGGAGATCCAAGAGGAGGGATGAATCAGGGCTCTCAAGTTTCTCAATGTGTTAAACCTAAAGTGCCAAACTACGTGTCTGATGCACCTAAGCAGGTGAAGGTCCTGTGAAGCAGCTGTTCTGTACTAGCTACAGTGAATGGCTGTGGTCTCTCTTCCACTCCGTGGTGCCACACACCAGGGCTGCCGGCTGCGAGCTGCAGATCACAGCCACCGCCTGTCCCAGGTACAGGGGAACCTGAGCAGGAGAAAGGAGGAGAGCCTGCTGATGGGCAGAGCGAGGAAGGCGCCAGCCATGTGCGCCACATGAACAGAAACAGGACAGACAGCAACAGCTCCACAAACCAGGCCTTCCTGCCTAAAGGATCCTCACCGTCAGGACTGCTGCTTTTTAAATACACACCTATGGTCACCCTGCAGCGCCTGGCAACAAGACTGCGTGTCTCCTCCTTCCACAAAGCAGGAGGGGCTTTACAAACACCACACTCCTGTGGCAGGAAGGATTTTACATCCTTAATTGCACCCAGTGATGGGAATTACAAGACCTGCCTTGGCAGCTTGTCCCATTGCCAAACTTCTAGCAATAGCCCCCAACACCACTGACCTTCCATGCCCGCTCTGTGTTCTCGCCGCACTCATGAAAAGCACCAGGTCTCTGTGGAAAGCTGTGCCCTGCAGCTGTCCCCACAGGAGCCTCCTCACCGCTCCTGGCAGAGCCAGCAAGCCCAGCACCCTGGGCTATTACTTAGTGGCTCCCACATGGACACACTCCAGAGGCAGAGAGCTCCCGCTCACTCAATCACCACACCAAACTCAGACGTTGCCATTAGCCTGGTTGATTTTCCCTGAGTTGATACCAACGCAGTGGGCCACAAAGAGAGAAAGGCCGTGCCCAAAAGGACACCCCAGCTAGGGCTGCATCAGGGCAGGAGCAGCAGCGGAGACAGGTCAGTGAGGTTCCCATGGCGGCCGAGGCAGACGAGGCGGCCGTGTCCCTCCCCGCGCACTGCCGGGGGAGGACACAGCCGTTCTCCAGCTCCCACCAGCCCAGAGGCACGGTCTGTACCTAACTCAAGCAAAGCTCGGCAAACACGTGGGACAGCGTAAATCCTCAACGCATGAGAATCAACCTAATGCAGCCTGCCTACAGAGAAGCGCCAGGTACTTAAATACTGAATAGCAGGGAAGGCAATTGCTTTACTTAAATAAGGAGCCATGTATTTACGTGCACTGTAAATACAAGCCTCTGTATGCATACTGAAGCAATGTATCAAACTGCCTGTGCTGCTTTTCCCAGTCATCTCGGAAATGCTGTTTTATTGCTCATAGCAAGGCATGCCGAGCAAGGCGTTTGGTTATTATTGCAACTGAACCATACTGGATTTTTATGCACTGAGTTGCTTACATTTCAATTCCTACTGGTTAATTAGCCACGAGAAAGCAGAATCTAGTTTGCTGTGATAATGGAGCAGGCGGGCCTGCCTGAAAAAGGTGTAATAGAAATTAGGATTCTCTTGTCTAACTACTGAAGGCTTTCAGCAAAGTTTTGTTGAAACTTTATTTAATGGAATTTGAAGTGATCAATGGCTCGACAGCTTTGTGGAAGAAATGTGAGGATAAAGGCTACTGCCAAAGAGGCAGGTACTAAGTGCATCTACAAGCCAAATGTGGGGACTTTTTTGCATGCTTTTCGGAGCCCATATTGCCCGGCCGAAGGTTTCAATCTGGCTGCAGAGCTGGGACCTCCCTGAGAGCAGCAAGGCCAATGCTGGGGACTCTCAGAAGGTGAAATAGTCAAAATAGCCACAGAGGGGAAAATCGGGCTTTGCCAAATGGCATATTCACAGTGGGGTGCCATGGGATAAATCAGAAAGGAAGTCAAAGGGATTCAGGGAATGCAAACTGCAGCGCAAGTATTAAAGCTTTGGGTTTATTTCTTTGCCTTAATGAAGATTTCCTACCTAGATGTGCTAACATACATCAGGATTGAAATCACTGGTCCAGATTTCTTTCTCCAGCTTTCCGTGGAGTCGATGGCTTGGAGGACATTTCACCCTTTGATTCCTTACTGATCTGGTATAGAGAGCAAGACTCAGCCCCTTCTTGTGAAGTACTTTAGATTCAGGGACCAAGTGAGCATACAAGCATATATGCAACATGTTAAAGATGATAAATGCTTTGTTCACCAGCAACAAACTGCTGACTGCTCCCTGGAAAAATATTAGGCCAGATACAGAGAAACCTGAGTTTCTCCTACATCCAGAATGGAAACAACCACAACTGTAAGTGAAAATAAATAAAAAGAAGGAATTGGGTAAACTCAAGACATGGTGCAGGATAACAGTGACTTTCCTGTGCCTTGCTCTGCTTGTCAGCTTGTTGAAGGCACATTCATGTGGGACAGCAAGTGCAGCAGGCAGTTAGATACAGCTGGGAGGGAAGATCAGATACATCCCACTGTGCCCAGTTCACAGAGGCAGATCCCAGTGTTTCTGGTCTGAGACATCCTTTCCACAGGGCTGTATTTGGCCAGTTCTTTCTGGCTCTGAACCTACTCATGGTTGGTAAAAACACTACAGAGCTTGAACACAGGGAGCTACCTTGATTCCCAGAGCATAAATGTTTTCCCAGAATTCAGCTGTGTCCTTGAAGTTTTCCCATTGCACTTTTGCCTTTAAATATGTTGTGTGACTTATCCCCTCTGCACTCAGCTTCCCAGAAGACTTACTATTCAAGTGAATATGTATAGAGCACAAAATCATGGCCTCTGCACACAGAGCCCAGTCAAGTTGCATCGTGTCCAAACCCTCCGCCTGCCACTTCTCCCAATTCACGCCCCAGTACCTTAAAATAATTGCACTTCCAGTGACTGTACCAGTGTTCACTGACCAGTCTCAGCTTCGTCTCCAACGCAGAGTCTTAGGCAGGGAGCCACATACCAAGCAAACAGGATCCCCAGGCAACCTGAGCGACTCGCAGACATCCAAACCCAACTCAGCAGCTCGCAGGGCAGTGAGGACCTGCCTGGGGTGGCCACATCCAGCCCTCTGCATGTTGTCAGCCCCAGCAGCCCAATGTGGATCCCCCTCTTCCTCTCTGGTACCTTTAATTATACTTATTGAAACTGCTGCTGCTTCTTGGTGGGAGACTTCGGTAAATGAAATCACCGGCTTTCTACTGGGGACTACAGATGCAGAAACTGGGTACACCCTGCAGTCAGCCCACATGCTGTGCAACTTCCCATCACTTCTGCAATTCCTGATTATGCTCCAGGCACTGCTCCTAACACACTCAGCCTGAAGCCTGCACCAGAGGAGAACAAGGAGGTGGTTTTCACATACCTCTTAGCCACAATGTCCTTTTCATGCCTTTTTCTCTTAAGAAGGCAACACACCTCTCTGTCAGCCTCCGCTGCTCTCCTTGCTCGTCCCTCGCCCTTGCTGTGCAGACGGTTTACAGACCATGCTGTACAACTCACAGTGGCCAGCAAGCCCGGGCGGCCACCATACTGCTCCCTGGACCACTTCTGGGGGGCAAAGGAAAGTATCTCAACTCATCCCAGTGACTCGCCGTGTTCCTTCGACCCCCCAGCTTCAGATCTCCCCATTTGTACAGGCATAAAATGCGGAGATCACCCATGAAGATCACACCAGTTCCCAGAAAGGCTGTCTCTGGTCAGAGCTTCTTCCAGTCATAAAGAGTCCCCTCATAGAGTCACCCTGCCAGCAAGGAGGACATGGGGACCAAGGAAGCATGCAATATACACTGCTTTGTCTCTGGGATTTGAGGGCAGGTTGATACTGGTGTTTCTGGCTGTCACTCTTACACTGCCAACTGTGGTTCTGGGAGCGCTCTGCTTGCCATGGACCTTCAAGCGCAAAGGACCTGTCCAATTCTACCACAAATCACAGGATCTCAGAATGGTTGAGGTTGGAAGGGACCTCTAGAGATCATCCAGTCCAACCCCTGCTCCAGCAGGGACACCCAGAGCATGAGGCACCCGGTCGCATCCAGGCGGGTTTGGAAGATCTCCAGAAAAGGAGCCTCCGCAACCTCTCTGGGCTCTGTCACCCTCTGTTCCAGTGCCCTGTCACCCCCACAGTAAAGAAGTTCTTCCTCATATGGAAATTAAATCTGGGACATACCTGGAAAAAGGGCAGCACAAGCTCTTCAACAGCAAGCCTGATGCACTGATGAAGACCACCTTGTCCAGAACACCTGCAGATGAATCGTGCCATCTGCAAGAGATATCTCCCTGCCTGAGCTAGCAGTCTGCTGAACTGGGGGAGCAACGGATTCCTGATCTGCTGTGGGAGGAGGATGTTCTATGAGGCTAATAGAGGTACTGGGCATCCATGCACACACCGGAGGGGCCACGGTAGCGCTTCAGCAGGGTGACGTCCACGGCCTTCATGGAGAGCACGGCCTCCGGCTGCTGCAGCCCCTCCTCCCGGCGGGCACTGCCTCTTGCTCCACGGCTCCCATGGGCTCTGAACCCCGTTTAATTCCACTCAGGCAGCAAGGGCAGAGGAGCAGCTGATGTGCTGGAGCAGCAGCGGTTGCATCCCGTAACGGGGAACGTTACCTCGACCAACTCGCCCAAGCGGCGGCGGGACGTGAGCAGGACCGTGTGGGCTGAGGCACTGGAGCGCACGCAGCGAGCTCCGCGCGGGCACACGCGCACCCCGCGCTTCCCCCGCTGCCCCGTCTCGCCTCTGCACATCCTTTCCTGCACACCCAGGCTGAGCAGCACACAACCCCCTGCCACCGTCGGGAAGCGTGAACCAAAGCAAAAACAACCACTGTGCTGCTCACGCACTGGAAACAGCTGCCACAAGGGAAGTGGGAAGCAAATCCTAACACCTTGCCCTTTTTTTTTTTTTTTCTTTTACTAAAAAGGTGCTGTTTCAGCTGTAGTCTGGCTAGTCCAAAGACTGCAAGAAGAAGTTATACTGCCAGCACTCCTGGGGCTGTACCGGGCTCCTGGACAAGCCTGACTTACCATGGGCTCCATGTGGTCATGCTTGCCCTGCTTTAATACTAAATCTATCTCAGCGAGCTCTGCCCTGGGTAACGCAGCAGCATCTCCAGCTTGCAATTGAGATAACCCCAAAGACAACAGCCCTGCGCTCAGCACTCCTGAGATCCCTAAATCCTTTTCCTTTGTTTTGGTGGGTCCGTGGGCAGATGCTGACTCTTAACGGCAACTTCTCTGCATTTGTAACAGAGCGAAGCAGAGCAAGAAGCCCAGAAAGAGTAAAAAAAATGAGAATCAGTCATGAGAGCAGCTGTAGCTTTTTAAGCTGATGACTTACATATGGAGATCCAGGAAGGTCTGAGAGGCAACACACAGAAACACTGAACTAACGTTACAGCGACTTGTCACTCACCCCAGTGGCTCCTCCGCGTCGTCAGCGCCCAGCAGTGCGCGCAGGCGCACCTTGCTGAGGGCCTTGCCGCAGGCCTCCTGCGTTGGGGAGCCGCTCTCCTCCGCGTCCACACGGCTCTGGCCGGGCTGGCGGGCACGCTGCGGGGGCTCCCCGTGCTCCGCGG